CGATGTAGGTCGCATAATCGTTTTATTTAATATACTGCGTTGGTAAGGTCTTGAACTCAAGACCTCTTGACTTGGATACCATGTAAAGTTGCGAGAAGCATATGTCTCGCAGGGACGTGTTACGTGTTTATATATGCAAAAGGATTACAGAGTTAGTTGTCAGGTAGTTGCTAGATTGATCTCCAAGTCATAATCTATATAAGAGATGAGTCATCCGCAACGACCCTAACAACCAGGATTACAAACACAACGCCGACCCTTATCTACTCGTGTGTATGGTTTATACATTTACCGTACACACGTTATACATTATACACTTTTAACATGTATCATATTAATGCTAATTAATTTAGCTCCAAAGTCTAAACTACATAGTTGCATTTTCCCTCGAACGTCCTTCATTCTTAAGCACTGCTGACATGCAAGTCATTTGCATCTGCTAGTGATATATTTTGATCTGAATCTTCCGTGATTCATAAGCGGTAGAACGTGTATTCTTGGTGAAAAGTTGCAAAACTTTATGCTGTACCACGAGAAAGATCCAACGGCAAAGTAACTCGCCCGTGACCCTTTACATGCAAGGAAACATGGGCTCACAACATTTACAGTCTGCCACTCTAAACCCGTCTCAAATGTCCGGATGGACGCCCGGTCACTGACCGGTCATAAAATTTCAACCCAGCCGGCGCCTCAAACGGGCCTCAAACGCCCGAACTAACCGGTACCCCTCATATCCGGCCAAAATATGGAGCGGATATGGGAGCATCAGGGCGCGCCCGCCACATCGGACCGACGTTGGGGTCTCACACGAAAACCCGGCGGTCCGAAGCTTGTCTTCTTCGTCGGACCGATTTCGCTGCGTGGAACCTCTCCGGTGGGCCGTGTAGTGCCTAGCCTGTTATTTTAGCCGACCGTCTGCACCGAAACCCTACCCCTCCACATTTTCCTTCGCCCGTCTATCGCCGACGCCACTTTCCACACCCTGTCCGCCACCACTAGTAGCCATGTCCCCACGCGCCGGATATGGGGCCACCCATTTGTAACGTTGGAGTGCCGGCTGCTGCTCTTTGAGCAGAACCGGGCAAGGTGCGAAACCCAAACCGCAGCAGAGCTACGTCCGGATG